AAATCTATTTATACAACCCTCAATCACGAGTCTCCTTCCTTGGGGAAAAAAAAGTTGAAACCCTTAGGAGGGGACCACAGACGGGGTAATCCCCCTCACAGAATGACAAGGCTGCAATGGATGCCGAGTGGGCAACATGCACATAATATGGTGCAATACAAGGTTAACTGGAACAGCGTGAGAATCCATTTGACAATTTTATCATTGATTATTTTATTAAATTTAATATTTTATGATTCAAGTACTTTGTATTGCGTATTTTGGCTGTTTTCATAATGTCGGCCTACATTGTTATCAAGGGAGGTCATAAAAAGTCAACTCCATTCTACGTTTTAATTGCATTTCATATATTTCAGTTTTTTTTCTGTATGGAAATTGACTTCATTACAGGAAAAACAAATCTATAGGTGCATTTGTTCTTGGACATTGTTTTATAAAGCGAGAGGTAGCAAGGTGACTGTGTTATCTTGCACATGCAGATGTTTTGAGCATAGCTGTGGCTATAAGGTCAGTGTTTCAGCCCCAGGATGCAACACTAATAGCAGAGTAATGACATAGAAGGAAACTGCAGAGAAGCGATAAGGCAGGCCAGGCAGAAAGAAAAGGGCCAGTGCTGAGACGACTGATTACATAGCCAGTGAGTGAGTTCTTGGGTAAGGAAAAGAAGCCAAAGAGACAGCTGTAGAGGGAGAGAGTGGGAAGTGATCTAGGGAATTGATGGTTGAATGTTTTGACCTCCATTCTCGTTGCTATAAGGACTTACCAAATGACTCTGTCCTTTCAATGCCCCAAAATGCACAAAATGATGCATCTGTCACTTATCTTTATGACGATGCCACACAGGCAGATTATTTCCGAAGAAATAAATATCATTGAACTTAGATGGATGTCAGGTGCAGTGAGTGGCAACCAGCTGTGTTTCTTTTTGTCAGGACTCACAAGTTATTGTATGCACACTAATGCGCACTCAGAGTACTGTTTCCGTTGTCCCAGTCAAGCCTGGGAACCAAACCGAAATTATTTGACAGGGGATATAAACCATGTTACTGTGGCGCCGTAGAGAATTTCATTACAAGAACTGCTGCTGAGCTTTACGTCATGGTGTTTGCTCGCCCTCTGCTGGCCATAACTGTTCATTACACTTGCTGACTGTACTTTCTACCTCAAAGAATTTTGATCCAATGCCGCTGTATTTTGTTTCCAGGACGTCAGTGAAAGCATAATTGCAGATGAGCATTGTTTTTTTGATTGATAGTTGTAACAGGATGCATCTTTCGCTTCGGTGTTGAATTCATCTTTTAGATGACAGCTGCTGATCCATTCATTCATGAATTCACAAAATACGTACGCGGAATTCCACCATATTTTATGGTACATTTATCTCTCCAAATTGAACGAAAGTTTTAGGGCCGAGTTAGCCTCTCTATCGTGTTTCTTAAAAAGAAAAGTATCACTTACATTGACTGTATTCAGTAGGAGAAGTCCACATACTGTACAACTAATCAGAATCAATACAAGAGCTATGAATAGATAATAAGCCACAGACTTCACTATTATTTAAATGGAACAATCCGTTGCGTTGATGTATTAAAATCTATTTACTTTGTAAAACTGCATTGCAGAATATTGCTATTGTTTTTGTATCGGTTGTGCAGATGCGTAATGATGTGGTTGTGAAGTCTGTGAAACCAGTGCTCAGTAGTGATAGTCAACTTTATGAGCATGGAGTTCTAAAAATTGAAAGTCAAGAAGCCTTTACATGTAGTGTTTGCTGTACCCTCTCGGGATTAGATGAGCTACGAGCTGTCAGTGGCACTAAATTAAGGACACACCATACTGCTTCCCTGTAAATTATGCCCAAGATAAGATAAGTACACACAGAGGCTCTTATCTGGAAGAATGACCACTTTGGTCATTCATTGAAGATAAGCAGACATCTTAAAAGAGCTCAGGTGTTAAATGGAAGATCATTTACACAAGTCCCTTTGAATGCAAAGCAAATTAAAATAAGATAAATAAGTAATACGCCTGCCATTGTTATATTACTCTTACATTTGCCACAAAAATGGTGTATAAAACAATTGCAAATGTCAATAGTGTTTTTCTTCTTCTATAAGCTACAATACATCAAGATTGATAAAAACGGAATGATTGGTTAATTAATTAAAGCTGATTTTTCATTACTAGTGAATCAAGTTGATTTTCATTGACTGAGAAGTTGGATGAAATTAGTGTTGTACCAAGCACCAGTATGGTATTGTGAATTGACCTTATACCATAATTTCCAAGCACTGGTATTTGTTTAAAAAAAAGACTCAGATGCATGGACGTGGGTGCCATTAAGCCAGTCTCCAATTGCCCACGTCACATGCATGACCAACTACATGATCCACAAGGGGAGATCTTGCAGTTTACCTTCCCATGTCATGGATGGACCCCAACAAGTCTATTTCTATTTCTGCGATGCCAAGTACAGCCTCCCGTGATTTTAATGCAAATAAGGGATCCTACTACGATTGGCCAGGAAAAGGCTGAGTTCCCTCCCACAACCACGCAAAGACCCGTTACGCCCAATTCTACCTGTACAAAGTGCCAAACTAACGCTGGGAACGAAAAAAGGGCCTTCGTGAGAGATCTGTCCTGGTTGTTGCGTAGATTGGGTGTCTCAGGGTGATGAAGAATTCATGTGGAGCTCATATAACCCACCTGATATGTGAGGGGACAGGAGATGGGAGGGAAGGTGGTGAAAGAGAACAGCAATAAGGAGGAGCTGTAAAGAGAGAGTGAAGCGGAGATAAAGAATGTAAAAGGAGAAATCATGGGTGAGAGTGGATGGAAAGCCACTTTTCCATTGCCCTCTTGGCAAATTGGTGCCTCATAGGAGTAATGGATAATTTGGTATTTTGTCACCCATACTTTTCAGACAGACTTCCAAAAATGTCGGTGTCTTGGATGCTTCGTGCATACAGATAACTCTGGTCACCAAATCTTTCTTACTTTCTTTTTTCATCAGAGTTGCAAGTAAACTTTATGAGATGTTTTTTTCTGATTATGAATATACATACCATTGTTTATTTTTTCTAGCATATCAAATTTTCATAATAATAATATCACGTAATAAACTGTAACATGGCGGTGGTCCAGTGGTCAGCATGTCAACCTCACAGTGCAGGGGTTGTGGGTTCGATCCCGGCTCCGGTTTTCCTGTGTGGAATTTGCATGTTATCCTTGTGCCTGCGTGGGTTTTCTCCAGGTACTCCGCTTTACTCCCACATTCCAAAAACATGCATGGCAGGCTGATTGAACACTCTAAATTGTCCCTAGGTGTGAGTGTCAGCACGAATGGTTGTTTGTCCCTGTGTGCCCTGCTAGCAACCGGTTCAGGGTGTTGCCTGCCAGCTGGGATAGGCTCCAGTATGCCCCGTGACCCTTGTGAGGATGAAGCGGTCCAGAAAATGGATGGATGGATGGATGGATGGATGGATGGATGGATGGATGGATGGATGGATGGGTGGATACTGTAACATAAGGGTTAGGTTCAGCAACAGGTGGAATTTTAGTCTCAAACGTCGTCACTATGGAGAACGCGCAAGCTTTTATCGGTCAAACTTAAAACTACAAAAATTGTCTATTTCCTTGCAACCACAAATGATCAATGGTCAAGCAGAACAATGGGGTCACATATGTCCTTCACAATTCACTATATTGATGGGGATTTAAAAAAAAAGTTGCTACTTGCAGGTTAATGTTATTGCATTTTCTGTAAGCATTTCTCCTTTGTTGCATTTTGCAACAGTTTTCTCAGTTAGCCTTTGGTAAAGGTGAAACCCTTGGATTGTCTTTATTTGTTTGACTTATGTATCACGTATCATGATTTAAGGTAACTTTGCACTGAAAAATATTTACATATGCTGTATTAATGGTTGAAAAGTGATGCAATAAAATACAGATGTTTTCCCTAAGATAATGATGAAGGTATTAGGAGATTTACGTTAATTGATCAATTTTTAATTGTTAATTGATTATCAATTTGGCCAAAATCCTGTTCAAGGAACAGATAAGTGTGGCTGCCGCTACATCACACTCCATTCAAGACTTTCTGGATCGATGGGCTCAAACGTGAAAGCCGACCTCTGTTGTGATTAAGGTGTACCTAAATAAACCTGACGGGACACACACCAAGGGTTGTGGACGTATGGAAGAAGTTAGGAAGCTGTTGTGGAGGGTTGGGGTGGGGGGCGTGAGTGCACACACAAACGGATGACTGTTATCGAAGAAACATTCAATTGTGTTTAAGTACACACACACAATAGGGGCCCCATCACCCAAATTACAAGGCATTCAAAATCTCCTAGGTCTGAATGTGTGTGTGTGTGTTTGTGTGTGTGTGTGTGTGTGTGTGTGTGTGTGTGTGTACTATGTAAACAGACATGCTTCTATGCGTGTTGTGACTCTCCACTCTTTCCTGCCTGATAAGAATCTGTTTACTGTGGTGGAGGTGTTGAACCCCCACCCTGATCTCTCTGCATGTAAACTGTAAACGGTGTACTGTATACCGGTGATGGAGCAGAATTTGTATGTATATATGGTGCTTAGTGTTGATATAATCGTAACACGCCACAAACAATTATTTTAATCGCTACGCGTGAGATCTGTAACGGATACCAAAATTATTTTAAGATTTCAATAATTATTATGTGTGTACCAGGCCTGAAATGCCAGCACACTCGGCCTTGCTGAAGTACAATACCTACTTTTGTCGACAGTGAAAGTGTAAGTAAAAAAAAAAACTATTTTTACGGACTGTCACGCACATGACAAGAGTACAGTCGTCCCGTCCCCTATAGCGCTCATCCCAAATGCTGACAACATCAACAGAGTCACCTCACCTGTAACACAAACTAAGGGGCTCACGCATCTCGTCTTTTCTCAAACCAAGCACCGCGGCTATGTTCAGCCACTCCCCATCTTTCCATCCCTCCCTGGGGTCGCTGCTAGTCCCGCCTTCCTTCCACCGCCATCGGACCGAGTGGCAGTTGCTTGCATACGCACTCCGGTTGTCGTCCTCCAAAAACCCGGGCCACCATTTGTTAACATACATGCGCTGCACTGCTGATAACACTTTTCTACCACTTTTGGGCTCCCAAGTTGAACTTCTCCACGGGCGAATAGAAACAGAAGAGACGTCTTCCTCTACTCCGGAACAACATTCAAGTCACAAGGTGGGCCCGAAAGAGCGTTGCGAATTGCCGACAGGTGTCCCGCACTATCAGATCGACTCTTTCTCCCTCCGGTCGAACCTACAGTCGCCATCAGTAAAAGGATATGTTGATTTTTACAAATCAAACGGTATTATATTCTCCCGAATCGTTTATTTAGGACAACACGTCAGTCTTGAGGCACAGGTGTAACCAAGTGACCGTGTGGCGTTCACCGCCTTTCCTGTACAAGGGTACGAATGATGCGTGAAGTCCCACCAGAGTAGTTGCGCTTTTCCCATTACCCCACCTCCTTATGCGGTGTTATTTTGTGTGTTTATTAAACTCTTGGTGTATATTCGTAGTTCGGTAGTTTTAAATGATCCAGGAAGTCGCATTTGGGTTTGCATGTTAAATTACAGTCGGGTTTTTCCAGTTGTCTTCTTGTTATTTCAAATGAATATTGATCATGAATTTAACTGTTCAAATGGTTAAATGACACTTTTCATTCGACCATTACTGTATTCCAAGGCAAACGATCCCACTTTGTCCCTGCAAAAAAGATCCAGGATCTTAGGAGTTTAGGCCTACTTAAAACCAGGGTTGCATGGTCAGCAATTAAAATATTCACTAATATGTTACAAAGCGTCGAATTTACTTTGTGCAGTATTATAGGTTTGCACTGTATTTGAATTGTTACTTAACTGTCTATAATGACTCTTAACCATGTTTTAGATTACATAAATTGTAGCCATCTACCATGGAACAGTCATGCTGAATGCTGATAGATTGAAAATGTCTCTCCCATTCTGCAAACACTGAAGCATTCTCTCAGAGATGAAGTTTTTTTTTTGGAAGTTTGTTCTTGCCTGGTCGCCACAGGTGCAGGTGTATCATTTTTGTCAGGTGACTTCTGTTTTGTTGGCGTTGTTGGCATTTACAAATGGAGTGAGAGAGCTTGTCAGACCAGTTTACGTGTGTGTTGATGCTTAGAGAGATAGTAAGCTTTCTGAATGAATGTTTAAAGGGAAACGACATTAATCCGATACACTTATGGCTGAAGTTATTTTAAAATTTGGACAGTATTTGTAAATACTGGTCGTTGGGTTAGGATGTGGCAATGTTGATGACGAATCCTTGTAATGGTGTGGAAGTTTCTGTCATAAACAGGTTTGCATGTGACTCAGTAAAAGAACAGCAAGTGTTGTTTCCCTCTTCCAAACTCCGCCTTCAATTTTTTTTTTTTTTACTACTTTAGCCTTGGAATTTGAGTTTCTCCAAATCACCCAAATATTTTAATGCAACAGCAAACATTGGTGTTGCATATCAGTTTCACTTATGATATGCTTGTTCCATGTTATCAAATATGATAGCCTTTGGAATGACTTGTCCTCTTGTTCTTGAAAGTTCAGGCCTCTCAACGGAGCTCACTGAGCAAATCGGCATAAGCAATACATCATCAAGGCTGCAGATGCTGTCGTTTCCAAGGATACATTAGTTGACTGGTATTAGAGCGCGATTATGCCATTGGACTTGAATGTTGATAGCATAATGACAAGAACTGCAATGTAGTATTTTTGTCATTACATGCATCCACTTTCGAGGATGAAAACTGGTTGAACTTGAACAACAGTCTTGTATGGCCACCCGCTCTTCTCTTTTTTTTTTTCTCACAGTTGGAGAATTCAGAACACAGCTCATATGTCCATGCAGGTTTAAACGTGCACCAATCAAGTCTCGCAATTTAAGGATAATGTTAAAAACAACATCCAGCACAGAAGAGAATAATTCTTGAAAGCGCTGTTGTATGTCTGCTACCTCAGCTATCGTTTGTTGAATACCATTCAAAATTAATATTGCCTTGAAAATAACAAAATCTTTCTCAAAACTTGAAACTTGGTTGAAAATGTCTCTTGCCCGAAAAACATATTCTATATGTTTACTGCTTTAATCCCTCAAAGTACAATGTATATACAATGCAGTCATTAAAATAATTGTCCCCTTTTAAAAATCTTTTTTTTTCATAGAATAATTTTATACATCTTTTAATGTTCAAGATCATCAAATGAATCAGACACATCAGACACATAAAATTAAAATGAAAAATGTTAAATGATTTGATTTGCTAAGAGGGAAAAAAATATTCAGTTACTTGTTTGAAAAAGTATTTGCCAGTTGCCTCCGTTTTTAAAGCATGAATTTACTGTGGCTAATCATATTTTCAATTCATTTTCACTGATCACAGCCAAACCCGATTAGCCCTGCAGACTTGTTCAATCAAGAAATCAACTAAAATAGAATCTGTCTGACAAAAAAAACCCAAAACCAAAAAAAACCCCAAAACAAACAAACAAACAAACAAACAAACAAACAAACAAACAAACAAACAAACAAACAAAAAAACAACACAGAAATGTGAAAGACTCATTGCCAGTTATAGAAAGCTTTTCAGATGTTAAGAGTGCCCCAACTAATTAGATTTAGGGGGCAAGTACTTTTTCCACATAGGTCCAGGTAGCTTGAATCTATATATTATCCCTTAATACATAAAATCCCTATTATAAACGGCATTTTATTAATTGTGTTATATTTGTCTGATATTAAAATGTGTTTGATGATCTTAAACATTAAATTCAGGAAATGATGCAAACAAGTCAGAGTTTGACAAAAGGGCTCAACACCAAAAGGACCAATCTATAGCACTGAGAAGTTGCATTTTCTGACACAAAAGGCTGGGAAAAATCCTAGATAGCCTGTTTCTTATCCTAAAACATCATGTTTGGAGGCCAACATGGCCATGTCTAATGCTAAAATATGCATTTTAATGTGTTCTTTTCAAAAGTATGTTATTGTAAAAGACAAATTCGAAATAGCCGAACTCTTGACTTGTTGACATTAACTGGGATAGGCTACGGGATACACGCGACACTCTAGTGAGAATAAATGCTTCAGAAGATGGATGGAGGGATGGATGGATGGATGGATGGACAGTGCAAGCTGTAAAAAGCAACAAGCTTCTTTTACTGCGGCACTCTTCTGCTAAATTTGAAAAACAAATGCCAATTCACATGGAAGCTGTACCAGCGACATTTACATGTATCTGGATCTGGACCAAAATGTTATGAGTGCTTCTGTGGCCCATGTACTACCACTTTACAAAGTATCATGGAAATAGTTACTATGTAATTGTTGTGTACTTCATACCAACTTCCAAACCTCCCAACAAACAGACACCAAAATATAACCTTTTGTTTCACACTTTGATGCTTGGCTGTTACAACAAATTTAACAACACGGCCTCAGGCATTGCATTCAAGTTACTCTCTTACAGAGTGAGACTCCTTTATCTAGCTGCAAAGGTACCCAGAACAGTGAGTCCATATGCCATTTTTATATTCAAGAAACATCTGTGACATTGTATAGTTCTGTATGATGAACATTTCCTCTGTGTTGAAACTTATTTTCAAGGAGAAATAATGTATGCATGTTGTCATAGGCCACGGAGGTGATAATCCTTGCGAATGGTTCTTTGTTTTTATGAACACAGCAGCTGTTTCTCTTTTGTCTGTCTTTTTGTTGATGTTTTTTGAGTATGATTATGGAGCTGGCAAAGATGTGTCGGTGATGGCTGTTTCGAGGTTGAACAGTCGAATGAGTGAAATCGGTGAAATGCAGTGGATAAAGAGGGCAACACGTAGTCTTGTGACCTTGCCAAGTACACACCAAATATTTCATACAGGAAACACGTCAATCTAAGTTTGATTCTTTTTCTGTGATTTCCACTAAGCATGCAGTCCATTATTAAATGTGTAAGATTGATGAGCAGTGTTTTAATCTAAATATCTTTTTCATTTCAGCCATGCTCCTGCCCTCAATTCTACTCTTCCTCGTTGGCCTCCTCATGTGGCATCCCAGTGCATCATGGGCTGCTAAAATCATTGTGGTCCCACCAACCCTGTTTGAATCCCATATGTACATTTTCAAGACGCTGGCCACCTCTCTGCATCAGGAGGGCCATGAGACCCATTTCCTAGTCTCGGAGGGACGTGAGGTACTCCCTTCCCCTCACTATAAACTACAGCGCTACGCGGGCGTTTTCAACAGCAGCACAGCTGAGAGTTTCCTGCAGTCTAAAGTTGGCAACATCTTTTCAGGCCGCCTTACATTTCTGGAGCTTTTTGACATTCTTGAACACTACAGCCAGAATTGTGATGCTATCGTAGGCAATTCAGAGGTCATGGCCCGCCTCAAGCAGGCCAAGTTTGACCTGTTGCTGGTGGACCCCAACGAAATGTGCGGGTTTGTCCTTGCACATATACTCGGCTTGAAATATGCCGTGGTCAGCACAGGTTTGTGGTACCCTACGGAGGTGGGAGCCCCGACCCCTCTCTCATACGTGCCCGTGTTCAACTCATTGCTGACCGACCGCATGTCACTGTTCCAAAGGATCACCAACACAGCTGTCTACCTCATAGAGAACTTTGGAGTCCATTTTATTTTGATCCCCAAGTACGATCGGATCATGAGGAAACATGGAATCAAGCCGCGAGTGGCTATGACTGACCTGGTGCGAGGCAGCCAGATTTGGATGCTGTGCACTGACTTGGCGCTGGAGTTCCCCAGGCCTACCCTCCCACACGTGGTGTACATTGGAGGCATCCTCACCAGGCCAGCAAACCCACTGCCACAGGTGAGAGTTGCGAGCGGCGCACAGAATAAATCACAAGTGCTTCATTAGGTAGGCAGACCGTTGTGTCAACACTTTTACAATGAGCACTTCACCCTAGCTTGCGCTTTATACATAGGCTGAGCCACTTATTTCTCATTGTAACGATCAAAAGAGCTAATATTATCGGTGACGTTTTACCATGGACATACGTGGAATAATTGTAGTAACTGTCATGCCTTTGGGCTGTTTTAATTACACAGTAGCCACTTGGCTGAACACAGCTCGACTTGCGTCCCCATACTGGTAGCTGAGCCTCCAAGCGCCGAGCCGACGCAACATGAGTGACGTAAAGCAGGGGCCCCCAACCTTTTTTGCCCCACGGACCGGTTTATGTCAGACAATATTTTCAGGGACCGGCAATTAAGGTGTGGCGGAAATAATACAACAAAATAATATGGTATGAGCTGCATGAAAACTGTGGCGTTTTCGAAATATAATAATAAACACAAGGAGCGTCTAATCTGGCCGCAACACTCCGATCGCTATGGCAATGTTTAATGCCTTCAAAATACGATACAGCGCAAATTCAAAGTGCATGAAAATGACGACTCACCACAGCACCGAGCTAGATTTTCTGCAACCAGACGGTCCCATCTCGGGCTAATAGGAGACAATGACACCTCAAGTGTGTGGTTTATGTCCAGTCTACTTCGTAATTTTGTTTTCGTCGCCGTTGCTGCAGAAACCCCCCGTCTCACACTGGTAGGATGTCGGAAATAGCAATAGTGCTATTGTGGCCATCTCAGAGTATTCAGGCATAACTTTGATCCAGTTGTCTCGAACGTACTTTTAAGGCCGCCGTCATTTGCGATCTCCAGCAGTTTTTTTTTTACTCATTTTGCGAGCTCCCGCGTTTTGTTTTGAAGTAATCGGTCACGTGAAGGAGAAGCGTGGCTTGACGTGTGTCAAGCGTAACACAGACGGATGTAACGGAGAATCCGGTAGTTTTTCAAAATAAAACATATTTCGTATTCCGAAATAAATAAAACGGAATTAAGGCAAGTTCTTTCTGTGCGGCCCGGTACCAAATGCCCGGCGGACCGGTACCGGTCCGCGGACCGGCGGTTGGGGACCCCTGACGTAAAGCACTTGTCATTGTGTTGGTATGTCTTCATTGTGCCAATGTAACATATGAGGATACTTGGCCAGAAATGGCAAAAAAATAAACACATGCTAACATCATATGCTGACCCATTTGGCAGGCCTTTGCTCTCTCCTTGGCTGCAGCACTCTGTAGCGAATCGAAGTTTCCTTTTAAATATCATGTGTATTTTTTCTTTGTGTCTTTTATCACTACTTGCATGCCTCCACTAATTTGTACACAAAGTAACGCAAGGATGGCGTCGGTTTGATTGGACATAGGAGATACTTCCCTGAGAGGGTGATGGGGGCATGGGGGAGTTAGTCCATCGTTTGGACAAAGACGGCGTGGGTTGTTGGTATCTTCAGCGTGGAGGTTTTGGAATGCTTCTCTCGGCCAGAAGGAGCATTGTGCCCTAATGTGTGAGGGAGTTAGAATGTAAGCGCAGGGAGAATGAGGCCATTGTTCTTGGCAGAAGCCAAGGGACACTGAGACTTTTTATGGGGTCACTGTAGCTTCCTTGTAGGGACAGCCGGGCTGCACTGCTGGGACACAGAGCACAGTGTGCCACTGCAGTTGCTCCGTGCCAGGTCCGGCTTTAGCTGCCACAGCTGGACCATTTACCTCCGTCTGCTGGATGTAGAACACTCAACCATGGCTCCACTCTGATCCTTCCTTGACCAGTGACCCGTGTCTCTCCATCCTGTTAACGTACTCTCCTTAAAATGACAAAAGTAATCCGCAAATATTATTTTACCCGATTGCCGTGTGCTCCCTTTTTGTGCTGCAGTAGTATACTCGGTCTCAATTTCACTGAAGCAGCATTGTTGTTGTTTGCGAAAACGTTTCGGCTGTATTCAACGTGGCGTGTATTTTGCCGTTTTCCCTGGTACTGTTTTGAAGTTGAATATTGATCTCCGCCCAAACGGTGGAAGGCTTTGCTGCATAGGGAGTCCTGCAGTGATATTTTCAGTGTTTCAGCGTCGTGTAATTTTATTTTCCCTTGTTGCAAGTTTTGCAGAAAACATTACAATGCGGCAGGAAGCGAGTTTACGAAAGGTGACACCTGAGTGCAATGTCTCTTCATGGAAAGCAGTGGCTAGCATCTTACATTTACAGCAGTTTATAACTAGAAAGCACTCGTCAAGGGATTTATTTTAATGACTTATTTGCTCTCTATATCAGCAAGACAACATTTTGAATCCGTTTTATGACATCAGACCTCGTTAAATCATATATGCAAGCTAAATCCTCACATAAATCAACACTGTAATCTTTACTGGCGTTGAAAAAATCACTCTCTAAAGCAATAAATGGCAACCGAGGACTTGTTCAGAGGGAATGTTTTGTCTTGTCCATTTGGACCCAAATCAGCTTAGCTCATTGTTTTTGTCCAAATTGAAATTACACAGGAAACCATTACAACAGGTGTCGGTTTAGCAATAAAAAAATCTTGCACAAAAATGTTGCAGTAAAAAAAAAAAAAAAAGAAAAAAAAGGTTGCACCACATGAAGTGAAGCACTGTGTAACAGTAGTAGAACATTGTGTTACTGTCATGACTGTGGATAATGTAGTTATTCTTTCCAACTTTTTACATATTCCCACAGGACTTTGAAGTATGGGTTAATGACACAGCAGAGACCGGCTTTGTTGTGGTGTCCTTTGGCGCTGGGGTGAAGTACCTTTCCCATGACATTGCACACAAACTGGCAGGAGCCCTCGCCAGGCTACCCCAGCGAGTCATCTGGAGGTAAAGTACCTCTTTGTCCTTACTCACCTGTCACAGCTATCACAGTGAAAGAGGTGAATATTTTGCACTTTACTGTCCTGATATTTTTCCAACTTGGTTCTCAAATACCTCTGGATTTAGCAAGGCGCTTGAGTTTTAAACATCTAATCTAGCAATACCTGTTGACTTGTTTCTGTGTGCCTCTTTTTACTTACTTTGTTTTAAAACTGTGCTTCAGCGAGACCAACTGGTTAGCACCTCCAACTCAAAGTTCATACGTTGAGGGTTCGTGTCGGGCCTTCGGCCTTCATGTGTGGTGTACTAATGTTTGCATGTTTGGGGTTTCTCTGGGTACTCCAGTTTTTCCCTACATTCCAAAAACATGCATGGTAAGTTAACTAAAGACTCTATATCATCCTTAGGAGTGACGGGTTGTTTGTTTATACAGTATGTGCCCAGTGACGAATCCAATAATTGAGTAAAATTTATAGCATAAGGCTGAGCGATAATTCAGTGTCAATATGTATCGTGATACACGCTTGCTTGATCTCATTAGAAAATGCCATTTATAAAGTGTTCGATAGACAAAAGAAAAAAAACATAAATCAGAAAGCAAACCCTGACCATAGCGTTGTGCGTGTTGGAGGCAGTGCGCAGCTGCCTCCAAACATGAAGAAGGAGTTAAACCAACGAAGAAGTAGCCTCTACACCAATGAAGAAGAAGCATCTAATCCAATGAAGAAGAAGAAGCTAAACCAACGAAGAAGAAGTGTGCGCGGGTGTGCGGCATACTCACGCGGAACAAGAGCGTGGCATAAATTTATTCAGATAAATGACCAGTCAGAAAAAAAGGCCAAAAAATATACTGTATACCTATCGACCAAAATGAAATAATTCATATGCTTTTCAGTGACATAGCCCAGCCCTAATCTAGCAATGTTATTAGTTTGTCGACACACTACAAGTTTTGATTGTGACTTTCGAGAGCTGCATGATTTATAAAAGTCAATTTAGCATGTTAAAGGACCATACAACCCAAAGTTTGGTACTTATGAAATCGTAAAAATGATTCAGTATTGTTGAAAACATGTATTGCATTTTTATGCCTTGGTAGTGGCCGGTGGGCGGCTGTCTCTTGCTGGTTTAGACCCCAAAATAGATTTTTGTCTGTGTGAAAGCGTCTGTGCATTTGATTGGCTGTAAATTGCGACTTCACTTTGCCAGATCATGCAATGGGGAATGATAATTTTGAATTGGCGCAAACCCAAGAACCAGACCCACCACATGTGAAATCTGCAAAATAGTGCCATTGTATTGAATAAATTAGGATAAAACTGAAAAATGAAACATTAAGCTGTCAATATTTTCTCTCAAACTATTCGGAGAGTGGCTTTTTGAAAAGGTGATTCTTATGACAGAGTCATGAATTAATCTATGGCTATTTGTGTATAATCATTGAAATTCATCACATCATATCACGAATATATGGGGGACTCTTAATGGGCCACCACTCTAAAAAGATTAACGTCAAACCCTGGGTACACCCACGAACCTAGTGAGGACAGGTGCCATCGACAATGGATGAATTAAAACTAGCTACTCATGATGCACATGTATTATTGAGATCAACAAATTTATCACACATACTGACAGAAAAAAAGTGCTGGAAAATTTACTGGGTCAATCATTGTGTAAAGCAAACTCTCACATCTACGCTATTTGTTTCATAGCTGGTGTTTTTGTCAATGAAGTGGTCAGGTTTTGATTCTTTGCTTTCTCCATGAGTCAAGAAAATGAATGTGATAAGTCAGGCATGGGTGTGTGCTCTGCAAATGAATCAGTAACAAAGGGTTCAACATGAACTTTGGGTAAATGTTTGTGCTTGGTCAGTGAGCAGAGAAAGGTGGAACTGTAATTCAATAGCACGTAATCATTTACCCATCCTTCACACTGACCACTAGACAATGACACCGATGAGAGACTTACAAATATTAGATCTAATTCTGAAAAAAAGACTAACACTCAGGCGATTTGTGCAGCAACAATAAAGCTCGCTTTCTCAATTTCAATTCTTGGGAAAATGGCATTGATGTCAAGATGTAGACTACGCTGCAATCGAGTGGCAAGGAGTGGAATTGGTATGCATTGTGGGAAAAGTAGGTTGCGGTCAAGGGATGCTTTATACGTAGTTCTTTTTTAAAGCTATCGCAGCCACAATAAATGACCAGGAGCACCACATTTGGCCCGCAGGCCTTGAGAGTGACACATGGATTATGTTGCATTCTAGTGTACTGTGTATCGATAATGATCAATTTTAAAGAAAGGTGTTTAGATGTATATTTATTTGATTTCTAGGTTGTTTACGTTTTCTTAATATCCCCATTGTTGTTTCTAGGAGTAGGAAAACTACAAACTGTTTTTACTAGTTTTAATGTTGGTATTGTAGACTGCAACCAGGAATAAACTGTTTTAAAACCAGATTTCATGAGAAAACATATTTTTCAGGATGAAGAATATTTTTAAAGGCGTTTTAATTAGTATCGAGGACATCCAGTGGCAAAGAAGTGCAAGACTTCATTTCTGTTTCCAATCAATGGCCGAATCACTCCACATTTGTGTGACAATTTCAGTTTCCAGCTCGTAGGGGAAAAGACAATGGAGTTTCATCAGAGGAATACTGCCACAATATGACGAAGTGGTCTAGACCCAACTTGGCTTTCTATTGTGGTCTTTTTGCAAGCACCATGCAGAAAAAAAACAGTACCTCAAGACTGTAAACTCCAATGGCAAATGACTCAACATGCACTTAACTGCTGGAATATTGGTTCTTATTCTGTTGTAAGTGTCTGGTGGTTCTTGTCATCGTGATAGTTAGTGGTTATTCAAATAACTGAGTCACGCACTTCATTCTTTTTGTGGCACATAGAGTACATACCATGAAAATTTGGATTTGGGATTTGAATGCATTTTTGAAACATGGCAAAACAGAAAGTGAGGCAGGTAACACGTGACAATGAAATGAAACCCTTCTGCAGTCAAGCATTCGTATAAGATTTTGTGTATATTTGTTGCCCTGAAATTCTGAGGATATGAAGCTCCGTGATCCCATACGATGAGATATTCCGAACTGGTAGAGAACAGGGGGCCTGAGGAGATGAAGTGGGATCAAGCCCAATGAATCATGTCATTGATAATTAGCTTGCATGAATGTAGGCCTTGATTGGCAACACAGTGACTTAGTGTTTTGTTGCAGATAGTGAGATAAAAGATTTTGAGGAAAGGATTTGTCTACATTGGTTGCCACTTGTGTGAGAATGCAAAATTAAAGCCACGCAAGACCAGTTGAGACCTTTGTTTGATTCCTCTTTTGCACTGGGAAATTTTGACCCGCTACCTTTGTTAGGCGTCCATGTTCTTTGTATTCTATATAGCGAGCCGGGTTTTACATGGGGCTATATATTCCCAAACGTGCTGTAAGGTCATTGTTTTATTATTTTGCGAATGGTTACAGTCTCTTTTTTTTTCTTTGACAGATTTTCTGGTGCCCCACCCAGTAACATTGGCAACAACACTAAGCTTGTTGATTGGATGCCTCAGAATGACCTGTTGGGTGAGTTCACATGAGCACTCCTGGACAGCTCTACTCTGCTTTTAATACGTGTTTTATTGTAGCCACTGAGTATCACCTATCACCTATTTTGCAAATCCTTCCTCCCATGCCTACGATGTGAATGTCTCAGAAAGGAGGAATGTGTGTTATCCAATGACTTTCTGTTGAACTTTGGGTAGTAGTTCTGTTTAGTTTTAACTGTAAAAGATTGTACATAAGACTAATAAAATCACGTACTATTTACAAAGAGAAGCAAACATGTTTACCAATGAAATGACAAAACCGCACTCTGTGGCTTTCAGGCACATGCCTCTAGTGTTAGTCAATGTCTACCACACATTACCACTGGTTTCCTGCTGTCACAATAGTACAGCATTCTCACGTCCTCACCTCTTTGCATTCACGCTACTGAGTCACTTGTGTCAAACCAACCCACATTTTAAGGTCAGCATTATTTGCACATATTGATAACCCCACAACAATGATGTCTTTTACTGTTCAGGCCACCCCAACATAAGGGCTTTCTTGAGTCACGGTGGGCTGAACAGTATCTTTGAGGCCATGTACCACGGGGTGCCAGTGGTGGGTGTGCCCCTCTTTGGAGACCACTACGACACAATGACCCGTGTGACCGCCAAAGGTATGGGCATTATGCTGCACTGGAAAAGCATGAGTGAGGACGACCTTTATAATGCCCTGGCCACCGTCATCAATGACACAAGGTGAGATGTCTTTTGTACTTTACAGCCTTTTTATTAAATTTTATATTCACTGTCCAAAAACCCATTGTCCCTTTTTTTGTGTTTTTATAAAGATTTCCGAAAAAACACAGTAACTTCAGCAAATATTAGATAGATCTACTGTAGCACCAGAAATGTTAAAGCTGTATTTTTCTGAAAAAAAACTTGCCGACACCGGTCTCATTTAAAACAAAAAATGGACAAAGTAGCCAACAACATTTTCTTGGGCAGTTTTGGGTGTAGAATACAAAAATCTACATAGTTTGTCTCTTTATGCTCCCGTTATCCTTGCAGCAAAGTGAAATCTCCTCTTGGTGGTCTGATGGGTACAATATGTTCAATGAATCCCATGGCAATTCATTTATTGTTCTTGGAATCTAGCTTTGAAGTTAGAAATGTGCAGTGTTCCATTTAAGTTGTGTGGCTGGGGCAGTGTGCTGCCTCGCAGCCTAGCAAAACACCTCCTCCAAAAAATAGCACATCGTGTGTCACGGGAAAAACTGGAACATATGGGCCAAAATGAATGGTACCACTGTCTTCAGTACAAAAAGCTGATCGAGCAAATATTTGTCATTCCTGTTTATTTTTTGCCGCAGAGCAATGTCATCGAAATATGAAAGCAAGTTGTTCATTTATTATGAATTGAATTTTTGTTGTCTTCTGTATCTTTATCTGTATTCTTTATCATTGTTCTTTAACATGGAAGAAAAAATGAACTATTTTTAAATTTATCCCAATACTTGAATATTGAATAGAATTTTCAGTGAGGTTATCCGATGAGCAAAATATTAGATAGCTGCAGCCTCAGTCATGTGTCGTGCAACTCACGAGTTCTGGCAGTCCGAACTGCCTTCGTCATCAATGCGCGAGACCCAAATGATCACACTTTGGCTGGCTCAGTCAAACACCATCAGTGCCCCCCGCCCTCCTGTACTTAAGTCCAATTTTTACAAAAGGTTAACTGTGAATTTTAGGCCACTTTGCCCTGATTTTTAAATCAGTTACGATGATCTAACAGTTCGTGTCCCACTATTTCCCACCCCAAGAATTTGAATATTTTCTATGCTTTCTCCATGGATGACAGAGCATTCTTCTGTGAGCATTGCATCCTTTGTCATCGTCACATATGCCCATTAAAGATGCAATTCCTACAAGAATACGTATGTTTATATTAATGCTTAGACTGCATTTGTTTCATTAGAAAGAGAGCGAGAGAGAGCAAGAGAGAGAGAGAGAAATGCATGTGGCTTTACTGTATTGCTTAGTAGGGCTATCTTGTGAATGTCTTTGGGATCACATTGATTTACGTTGGCTAAAAAAAGGTGAACTTTCTCCAGGTACCGACAGCGGGCAGCCATTCTCTCCACCATCCACAAAGATCAACCCGACCACCCAGTGACTAGAGCCGTCTACTGGATCAATTACACCCTCCGTCACAATGGCACAGATCACCTGCGCTCTGCTGTATACGACATATCCCTCTACCAGTACTTTTTGCTGGATGTGATTTTCGTTATAGGGTCAGCCTTGGTCATTCTGGGCGTTGCCTTGCGACATTTGGGACGGTTACTGAGGGCAAAGTGTGGTGACAAGAGCCAAGTCGGCAGCGTTTCCAGGGAGGATGGAAACATGGTCAATGGACACTGCCACTGCTTGTCCAACGGTAAACACCAAGGCAATGGCTCCTTGAAGAATGAGAAGAAGGTGAACTAATGTTCTCAAATGGCCAAGAGGGATGAGGAGGCGGTTGCTCAAGGGCGTAGCCCTGGGTTTTTGTTGTTTTTTTTTTGTTTGTTTTTTATCAACGCTTTGGAGGAGAGACCCTTGTTAGATCTGCATCAAGAAGTAAATGCCACTGGGAGTGAGGCTCAAAAAGGATATGCAATATGTGTGTGTGTGTGTGTGTGTGTGTGTGTGTGTGTGTGTGTGTGTGTGTGTGTGTGTGTTTGTGTGTGTGTGTGTGTGTGTTTGTGTGTGTGCGCGCGCGCGCGCGTGTGTGTGCGTGTGTGTAAAAGTGTCACCACTGCATGAGGAGAATTTAAAGTCGAATAACAGCATCTGCCGCGGCATATCGTCAAATTGGAACACCGAAGATGCACGTCCCTCTGCTCTTTTAAGAGTTGATCGACCGTGATGAAATGATATCACTAACCACACATGGACTTTCAAACTATTTAGAATATTTAATTGTTCGCTGCAAAGCTCACCAAGTGTCTGGGTTAGCCTCGAGGGCACATTTATTTATTTTTGTCAACACGAGTTTTAATGATGGATGTTTTATCTTATTTTAATTTATTTCATGGACTTATTTCATGGTGTGATAACATGATGATGGATATACAGTCGCTCCAATATCCACACTGTTATGACAAGCTTTACCGGTGTTTGGTTGCTCTCTCAATTTGTCCCTTCCTGTGAATTTGCCTTGTCTCAAAATTAAGTCTTTCCTCAGGTTGTCAGGTTCGATAGAAGAAGTCGATTTCTGCTAGACAGCTTTTAGGGTCTATGTTTACTTATAAAAAAATGATTAAAAAAAAAAAGATGGTGAATGAATACTGAAAGTCTAAATCATCGTTTATTAGCCTGGTTAGCTCCCTGCTCCTGTCTAATTTCATCCGTCAATGTAGTCCTAATCTATACATCTACCAGATAGGTGTCTGTCGATTTTAGATCAGGTTGAATCACTTGCTCTTTTGTGAAGGAGAGTGTGGCTTTCATCAGGAGCTGACAAACTAATTTGGTGTAATATGACCGATTGCAAGTATTCAGATTTCATATTACAAAGCTTGATAGAGGTAAGATGTCATTACTGGAAGCTCATTGTTTACTTATTCGTCTTATTTGGTCAGTGAATGCTGAAGTAAATGTACACCCGAGACGTAACGAAGAAGTGACCTAACGTCATAGTGAAAAGGGTTGATTTCAGCAACTTTTCGGTACAAGCTATGCAGTCTTAATGTATTCTTATAAGCAAATGTAGTGTATAATAATAATAGAATTTCAAGGTGCCCAAGGATAAATTACCATCATTTCTCAAGAAAAACACACACCCGAATATACTCCAAATCACCTTTTGTATACTCATGTTTTATGCGCTCCCCGATTTGGGTATCCATGCTCAAAAATTTAAGTATTATCTTTATAGTGAATTAATAAATTCGGATTTCTGTGTTCAGACACCCTTTAATTATTATCTTTATTTTTGCTCCGTGCGACCATGGCTTTTACACACAAGGTGAGAGTATATCAAGAAAGATAAAATTGAATTGATCACCGGAAATGAGTCCCGATTCCCATTACTTGCTCTGTCCTCAGCTCCTACAGTAAATGCCAGCATGACATGATCCACCTTTACAATGTACAGGCAGCATGGCGGGAGCACCTTCACGGGGACTCATTCCATAACTAGTTTGTTGACACGTTAAACCGAAATAAGTTTTAGTCAAGTGTTTTTTTTTTTTTTTTTCAATTTTGTTGAATTGTTTTTGCAGTGCCTTCAAATGTCAACATTCTATATGTTGCACAAAGCACGTGTTCACAAAATCCAAAGAGCACATTCGGACATTGTACAAAAGAGGAATACGGTATATTTTCCAGCAACACCCGTGCAAACTGCTGTACTGCATTTTTGGGGGAGTTCTATGCCCAGGTTCAGTGGAGGACCAACTTTCACAATATTAATAATTTTAAAAATGACATGGGTTTCCAAGTAACTGCACAATGCCATTTCTATGCATTCTTTTTGTACAGAATTCGCTTGAGAAGAGCCTGCATTACATTACAATGCATCCATGAATTATTTCACTGCTCAACAACCTATTGTATGTTGATGAAAGCTTTCTTGTCATCCTTTCTCCTGTGAGCTGCAATGACACCGACCTAAGCCTGCTGAAAACATACTTGAATTATCATTTTCAACATCAGTTATACATTCAGCTGTCAGGTTTGTGGTCCATCTGGTGTTTCATAAGCTATGAACGGGGTCTGGAGGGACACAAGCAACCTAATGAAGGTGCATTGTTGTTGTTGTTATTTTTCTTAATTCAGTATTAAACAAGTAATAGACCACCTAGCACCTCTTTTAATTCTCATCTCTATAGACTCAAATTTGTTACATAGTTTTTAGTTTGGTTGTTTTTTTTTTTTTTAATTTTTATGAGCGTGTGAAGTCCACAGTGTTTTCTCTGTAGCCTTTTGTATCTCTTCGCAACATTTCATCCCATATATTGGATTTAAACTGTTTTATCTTGATTTTAAAATGTTCCCATCACGTGTTGTAAATACAGCAATGCAAACAAAATACTAAGGTTGAATAAAACGCTTTGCAGGAACCATGGCAATGTTTGTTCTTCACTTTGCTTCAAGAAAGATAAAAAGATGGAAGTAAAATATCCAAATTGAGGATGTTTTGTGGGCTGGGTTTGACAGGGGATGTACATACATTGTCTGGAAATGTTGCCGCACTGCAAGAGGCCTCTGCAGCCATCAGTGCAATCATCTAAAGTAGTCAGCTCCACACAAGCCGTGAGGACAGATAGGGTTATCTAAAGCTGAATACCCATGCTGAGTGAAGCTGGGGTAACAAAACACCCAGCCTGGTACCCGGCTTCACTCACTGGCTCTGTTAATTATTCACACCGCCTGTGGGGGCTTGCAGACCTCTTTCGCGCCAACTAGCATGCGTCTGCAGCTATGTTTAATTTACACCTTTCAAGCTGTTTTCCTTTGTGGCCACCACTGGGACAATCTGGCACCCTTTCTGTTTGCTCAGACGCAAGACAGGCGGGGAGGGCCGAAGATGAGCATTCAAGAAAACCCAGTGGCAGCTTTCATGGTGGCCAGTATTCAGGAGGAAGATATGAGTGTGTCATTATGATCCTCTCACTGCATTACTCTGTGACCAGGATGCACTTCATTCACAAAAAGAGTGGTAGTGGATAGTCTGTCTGCCGTTGTCCCTGAGTTCAAATCTTCCTGTGTGGCGTATCCAGTTATAGGCTCCGACTGACCCCTGAGAAAAAAATGGGAGGAATGGTAGTGTTTAAACTAAGAGGAAATGTAATTAGTAAAGACCTTCTTCTGTTCTTTCCTTTCCCTTTAATCTAAAAACCACACATGAGATAACCTGTGTATTCTGTTTTAGTGCACGAGTGGTGTGTACGTTTGCCTCGCAATAATGAAATGGGTTTCAAATAGTTGTTTTTGTGTACTCCAAAGGCCTATATAAGTTTTCTCCAGGCACTTTGGTTTCCTCCTACATTCCAAAAACATGCATAATTGAATAGTATTGTGTGAATGTGGTCTCGAACTACCTTTTAATCCATCCAGCAGTTTGATTTAAATCCAGTAGAGGGCAGTGTTATTCCATAACCAAAAATGGCTCATCTCTCTGCCGTTCAGTTTTGTGTTTCCACCAACAGCTGAAGGACCTGTTGGACTAAAGCTCCATATCTGTGGAGATGTGATGCAAAGCTCTCGCAACACTGGTTATGTGACACTCTCAAGTTTAACACAAGGGGAAAGGGGCCGCTGACGTAATTCTGCCCTATTGTGACAGCCCTTGTTTTTAAACTCCATTAAAAAAAGAAAAATCTGCCTAGATCAAAATCTTCTGGCGCAAACTCAGATGTGACACGTGCCTTGGCCTGTTAAACTTTAAACCCAAACTAAAGGATTCAGGAGGCCAATCCACAGCTCTGTCATAGGTTCAAAGATGAAGGCCAATCAGTATACATGCATTATTTATTTATTTTCTCTAAAAGTCAGCTGGCACTGGATTATATGTGGTGTGGGGATCAATTATGATAAAGGTGTCTTAAGTCTGGCCACGCAATGCGACACATATTTGGATTTATGACATTTATATTTTATGCGTGCGTGTGTGTGTGTGGGTATGTGTTCTGGTATTACTGACTTTATATGGAGGAAAATCTGTTCCCACTGTTGTGCTACGGGGGGGGCACATAGGACCACACACTCCCTAACCAAATGCATGACAACAATTTTAAATATGGACAAAATACAGGCATGGATGCTCTTCATATGCTGTATTTCATTTTTCATGATGCATTTCTCAATGCACCTACAAATGATCCATGATTCAACAACAAAGGGTTTGAAGCGCAAAACAAAATCACCACATACTGTGATTTTTTTTTTCCTTTGCAAATGATTCTCGTATAAAAATTACCATTCAAGGATTGCTCAACACAGCTGAACAGCAAACCAACTTTAAGTGCAAGAATTATTTCAGTTCATTTTTATTGAGATTCTATGTTTGTCTTGGATTGTCATCACGGCTTTATGGGATAATACACAAGTTCTAAAGTTTTTTTGCATTGGTAATAAAGTAGATCATATTTAAGTGCGTTTTTTGTGTGTGTGTGTGTGTGTGTGTGTGTGTGTGTGTGTGTGCGCGTGTGTGAGTGTGTGTGTGTGTGTGTGTGTGTGTGTGTGAGCGCGCGCATGTGTCAGAGTTTACGGATGGATGAAGTCCTGTCATTGTGTCAAAATGGAGATGGAAGAAGCCTGACAGCAAGACGGAGAGACTGACACCTTTTATATCAATCAGCTGCATGCAAACTGTGTGTGTGTGTGTGTGTGTGTGTGTGTGTGTGTGTGTGTGTGTGTGTGTGTGTGTGTGTGTGTGTGTGTGTGTGTGTGTGTGTGTGCATTAAAGGGTTAGGAAAGGGTCTTAGGCTGGAATCAGAAATAAATCATGTCGTTCGGATGTCAACACTTGTCAGTTTGGCTCACCTCTGACTGTAATCTCTAAACTCCAGCGACCACATGTAGTCTCATATGCACGCGTGTGCGCACACACACACACACACACA